AAAACCATACATTTCAACCCACCTGCCTTTAGAAATGATAAGACAGTAAGACAATGCGTACTAGGCTGCCACCATGTGAGGTAGGCCTCCAGTGCCTCCGTAGGGGTGGAGCAAACAGCAACCGTCCAGCCGCGCGGGTCCATGGATTGCGTGGAATCATGAAGTTGTTGCCATCAGGTTCAAGTTGTTCTTTGTCGACTATGCCCACATGCGCTGAAAACTCGGCCATCACCTACACGTGTAAAGCAGGCATGATGGCACGCGTTCGGCGAGTCCGAGCTGCTTGGGACCTGGCATAATACGAAGCCGATAGCAGGGATGGTCGTGAATTTGGTTGTCCTGATGTTGGGGTGGGGAGTGGCTGGATACATGTTTTTTATTCATGATATTCCTCCGTCTGTGTCTGCGCAGACAGGGGGTGGAAGTAGTAGTATACGTACATACCCGTCCCTGGATCTCGACTTCTGAAATAGGGCATGGATACTACTCTTGGGCGGCAACAGCAAGGAACGGCGCGCTAGGTGCTGAAACCCTCGCAGGTACCTCAAGGTACGGGTTGCACCCCGGATTACAAAGTGGCCAGCGGTATGACTTGCGAGAACGAGAGCTGTGATTGAGGATCCACCACGGCTTCATGCGGGTAGCTTACCGGGACAAGTTTGGCGCCAATTTTCTAGTTCGCGTACCCCTTGGGCGCAGGTGTCATCAGGATTTCGATCGTGGGCCTGTTGGGGTCATTCTTGGCATGCATGTGGGTTGGCTCGCCCAGTCTCCCATGATCCCAAGCAAGCGGCTAGCCGTTTATTTCCGGTTCGGGATACACGGTTCTTGGATCGCAGTCCGCTATCCTATAGGCGGTGCCCCAGTCGCCGCTAATGCAGTCCGTATATCTGACCATTATGCCGTCCCTGAAAGCGCTCACTGACCCAGAGCTGCCCCCGTTCTCCCCTAAGGATGGCTGAAAACAGGATCGATGTCCAGCAGGGGCAACAGTACAAGATTCAATCAGAAAACAAGGGAGAGTATACCGTCGTGGCCCTTGGGTCTGGGGAGGTGTGGTATCCAAGCTACATGGCAGGTGTGTCTGCCTCGCTTTTCTGTTATAAGCTTCAAGACGCTCAAGGACCTTATAAATCAGGACGGAAAATGGGCTGGTAAATCTCTGCCAAGGGGTGTTGTGTTCCAGTCGCGGGACGATATTTTGGAGTCGGACAAGAAAGGATTTCTGTTGACGAGTAACGTACTCCACATGCGAACGCTCCACACGAGCGAACGCTCCACAGAATCGCACCTTCGCAACTAAATCTTCGTTTGTTCCCCTACGATCGCTCAAAACAATTGAAACTACTCAGACTCGCCTTCTTCAGACATTTCTATATCTACCCGACAAGTGCGCGCATTATGCCCGGGCTCGCCGCATTTGCCACAACGCCGCGCTCGCGTCTCAGTCTTTGGTTTCCGACCACTACCCGCCTGCATTTCCTCCTTTATCTGCACCTCAATAT